GACCAAATTTTCTTTATGAAATTGTTAATTACATATACTTTGATTTATTTATTTTTCATTCTCCAATCAACATAAAGTTTTACTTGTGTGTGAACTTGGGTCTAACTGAATTCGTAAAGCTCTATTCATGCGTACAATTAGATTTTACATGCTTTTACAGGAATTAATATTTTGTCTTTTAAAGTACAACTATATAAGCAGATGTGTCTGTATATGCGTGTGTGTGCGCATGTAGGGGGAAAGAGAGATTTTTTATGTCGTTAATAAATTTCCTTGAGAGTTGAGAGTATGGGCTTAAGGGGGAGAGCTGAAATTTCCTTTTGCAAAGAGGGTAGGTGGGTCGGTGGGTAGGCGACGAAGAGGAAGTGTTATTTTTCATCAAATTTGATATATTTTGTCAACTTCTATGACAATGGTCCAACATTTTTATAAAGAAGCGAATGAAGATGTCGATGTTTTTGCCAAATGAGAAATTCATACTCCATCTCTGTTGGTTACTTCATTTCTATAATCATGTATCTTTGCTTAAACATCTTGTATTTTATATTTGAAATAATGATAAGTCATACAGTACTATTCAAAAAAAATCATGTATCTTTGCTTAAACATCTTGTATTTTATATTTGAAATAATGATAAGTCATACAGTACTATTAAAAAAAAAGAGAGATGTAGAGGAAGTGGAAGAAAGGGTGAGAGAAAAGAGATTTGGGGAAAAAGAAATCCCCGATGCACCCCTTGATTCAAAGAGAGAGAGTTCACTGGAGAATGATGGAGAGAGTGTGTGTTTGTTGGGGAATGGGAAAGAGAGAGAAGAGAGAGAGAGAATGGGAGAGGGAGGGGAATGCACAGAAGAGAGAGAGGGTGGTGCAGGTTAAGTAATGAGAGAGGAGAGAATACCTAAAAAATGCAAGCATGAGGGAATGATCATAAAGAGGAGCGGCGAAGCGAGGGATGCAAAGCTGGGAAAGGTTTATATGTAGCCTAGGCTCTAAACAATCAAATTAGAGTCTACCTGGACACTAAAAGAGGTTGTTTTGAAGTTCAAATATCATCAAATTGATCAACTGGACATCAAGATGGATGGACATGAGAAAAAAATGGATTTCAAGTTTTGCAGATGGTGCATCTTGTAATGCATTTTTGGGCCGTTAACTTTCAAGATTTCACGTTTTCATAGAACCATATTTCTCGACACTATTTGAAAGTGGGCTCCAAGTGGATTGTTTAGAGCCTCGGCTCTATACAAACAGCACCCTTTTCTACCTTCAAATATGTTGGATGGAAATGAAGTTGTAAAATTGGGTCCACATGAATACCCACTTAAAGGAGGCGCCAATCCACATAGTCTGGAGTACGCATCTCCATGTTTTAGGCCCTAAAATGTGGATACACCATTCAATGGGAGATGTATAGCCATGCCCTTTTTGTGATCCAAACTCAAGCGATCAATGGAATCATATCTCCCATAGAATCATTTTCAAGAATTCAAACAGGCCTTCGGAGTTGATACCTAAACTCATAATGCAAGTTGAGCGATCAGCACAATATGGTACGACCACAAACATAACGCATTGCACTACTCTAAACGGTCATGTACTTATGTAAGAAAATGATTCATAGCTAGGGACATTTAAAAGAAGGAAAAAGTTTATATAAGGTCTTTACTTTATACTCTACCCATAAGGTGCACCTAAAAAACCCACTAGTGAAGGTTGTTTTTTTTGCTAGAAAACCCTCATATGGATCATCTCTACCTTGATACTCATAGACATGAAAAAAGGGGATTTCTAGTGTTAAAAATAGCTCATCTTCTAACACATTATCTGGACCATTCATTTTCAAGATTTTCAAATATTTATAGATCTACTTGATCATCACTATTTCTAGAACTTTAAATTTCCTAATGGGCAATAAATTTTCATTTAATCACAAGGCTTTGCAGCACCGAAACTGCATTTAGTTTTGAGGCGCACCTTAGTTCTATAGTATAAGGTTGACACTATGTACAAACCTCACCCTTAAAAGAATCCAAAAAAAGGAAAATATAAAAATAAAATGTATGTCAAGAAAAACTCACTAATCTTTGCATAAAACATCCAAATTACATACAAAAAATTTATACATTGATTCTTCTCTATTCTTCTTATATGCCTGGATTTGTGTACTCTGAGTAACTTAGCTCGCCAAGTGGACTCGGCCGAGTTTGAAAGCACCAGTAGAAAGCTATTGAGCTGGATATTGGGACCATTTAAGGCAAGTTGGGTGACACCTCGATCTTAGTCATTTATTTGTACAATAAAGCTCAATGTTACTAAAGGAAATATCCTCTTATGATATACTACAATTATTGATGGCACATTTAGAAAGCGATAAATAAAAGAACCTTTGAGGGAGATGTTGGCTATGTGGAGTAAGTCAAAGCAAAGACCTTAGATTATGGACAAGGAAAAGTAGAGTTTGTCGGCGTTAGGACTTTGCATGAAAGAATTGTACCATAAATTCTATATCTTTTTGTAACATTTTTACTTATCAATGAAAAACATGTAGAGACCTAAATCTCCACTGAATTACACAAATAAAAAAAAAAGAGAATATAATCAATCAACAGCTCAAAGCAGGTTGCAATAGTGAAGTCAAGAAGGTGCGCAAATCCAATAGATGGGTCCTCTACCAATTCTTTAGTTGAAGTTAAAATTTCAAAAGAGGTGATTTGAGTAGGCTTAAATTTGATTGTTTAGAGTCTCAACTCTCTATAAACTTTTTCCTTTAAAAATAGCCACCAGACTAGGTAATTAGATTGGTGAAATGTCACAACATAATATCTTGAGTTCCATTCTTGCTATGAATAGATGACTATTTCCCTACAAAACTACTTAAAAAAACACTTTGACTTTTGCTTCAATATTAGTAAAATGAAGTGGAGTTCCTGGCTCAATAACATGGACTGCTAAGATTGTACCCAATTTGAAGGTGGCTCTACTAATATCATTTCATATTGCAATTAAGGATTTGGATCTCTAGTATACATGAAATTAAGCATGCTTTCAGAGGTAGGAAGGTTAGGTTCCATAAATCAATGGAGTGAGAGTAGTGTTTGAAAAAGCGTTGTTCCATCGTTTAAATCTCCCAAGAAAACATATCATAGTTTGAAAAGAAAAGCAGTAGTAGATTACATATGGTTTTAGTTATCATGGCCAGTAATGGTGCCACTGGTGGCGTTCATTGCAGCCTAGGGGACTGCCTCCATCCCTCCCTCTCTCTCTCTCTCTCTAAACCAAAGAACAGAAAAACTACTTTGGTGACTCTTTTGCGGAGGTCGTGGCCCATTGACATGCGCAATGGTACCAATATGTAGGTAACAATATGTCCACAAGGGTCACGGTAGCTAGTAGTGTTAGAATTAGAAGTTAGAACTAGCAGAATCGGATTAGCTATCAAAACATTAAGGGGTTCAATCTACTCAAAATCAGTCTAAACATATAGTGAATACCGTTCGACTAGATTTTTAAAATCAATTTAATAATTAGTTCAAAAGTATAAAGAATATTACAGCAAAAATTACCCAACGTGGTATAACTGCCTGATCAGTCAAAACTAATAGACAAAGTGATGAAAACCAATCAAATATTAATTTTGATTAATTTTTTACTAGACTCAATTTTTACTTTAGAAAAAACAAACTACAGCACCCAATATGAATGATCAAACTGGGCAATCCAATCTTGTCTTAATAATCATAAGTCGCGATTCGATCTTAATAATGACTAGTCGATAACTACGATGGTAACCGTATGTTCACATGGGTCATTAAGGTCCCATCACGATGATTGATTGATAATAAGTGTATGATATCACCATAACAAAGTGTACGGGTGGCAACGAGCGGGGTATGGGCCAAGTTACCCCTGGCCCTCGTCCCCATAAGGCCGGGCCAAATTAAATGAAAAATAAAAAAAACTAAGAAAAGAGGATAGCGGGAACCAGGCTAGCCTTGGCTATGATTACCCAGCCCTGGCCTGACCCTCAAGCCACATTTCATGACTCATGTCCTAGTTTTTTAAGGCCAAACCGAACCGCCTGGTGCATTGGCACCCTTGACCAAGGGTTGGGTTGGTGATAGAGGGAGAGCGACAACTCAATTAAAGAAATTGAATCGGACTACACCCATTACCATCCAACCCTTTCATTATTGGTGATAAACCTTAAGATATGGTTTGTATAAAGCCGAAGTTTTGAACAATCAAAATAAAGCACACCTTCAAACCTTCAAATAGTGTCAAGAGTATAGTTTCAATATTGGAAATCTTTATGAAAGCCTTAAAATATATTTTCATCTTTAATTATAAAATTTAAAGCTTCAAAAATAATGTAGATCAAGCAAAACTATAAAAACTTGAAAATTAACCGTCCAAAAATACATCACAAGATGCACTATTTTTAAAACTTGAAATCCACTTTTTTCTTATGTCCATGCATCTTGAGATCGACGTGATCAACTTGAGAATATTTGGGCATCAAAACAACCTCTTCTACTGAAATTTTTGAGGCACGCCCTAATTTGATTGTTTAGAGACTTGCACTAATATAAACTGTTTCCTAAACCTTATGACCATAAACATTATCATGACGAGTTAGTTTGGGCTTGGAGGGCCAGGCAAAATTCAAATCTCATATAACCTAAATCGAGATGCAAAACAAAGCTTAAGCGAACTGAACTGTTTTCCAACAGGAAACAAACGTGTAACACACACTCCCCCAGCACGTTACATGTCATCTCCATCGTCCACATTTAGTGGATGATGACGATGACTTTCTTTTACTCCATTCTAAGATTGACCCGGTTTCTATGTGTGCTTTAATTTCAAATTCCAATCAAAAGACACATAATCATGAGTTGAAATAGTTGCAAAACTGCGAGATACTTAATACTACATACCTCATGGGTAATTTCCCAAAAATAAGTGGAAGATTCATATACCCCCAAATGGACTGCTCAGATTACAGGTCATTAACTAGCTCTTCCACTAAGAAAATCCAAACCGTTGAACTAAAATATACAGAGCATAGCCCACATTTACTATACTAGTGCTTGTGCTTTAGAAAGGAAGAGATGAGAGTGAGTCCATATCAGACTTCCACAAAAATTAATTCATCTCAAAAAGTTTGTACTAACCCAAAAAGATTACAAAGAAGGGGAAAAAACAAAAGATAAAAAGATAAATACTAAAGGAAAATGACAGGAAACCAAAATTACATTTTCTGTACCTCTTTTTGGCTTTCACACTTAGGATCCATTGCCTGTACAGCCTGTTTGTCATCATTCAGAGTATTGCCACCCCCTGATGTCAAAAATTATAAACAGTGAATAAAAATAGTGTCCACTGGAGGGAGAAAAGAAAAGATAATTTCCTGACTTATGTACAAAGCAAAGAGAGAGCACAAACAGTAAATAAAACAACAGTGAACACTAGAGGGAGAAAACAAAGATAATTTCCTAACTTATGTACAAAGAGATTGAGAGAGAGAGAGATGGTGTTGACGAAGTTCACCCATTTCCTTCAAGTGAAAGATTTGTTGTGAGTTCCCAAAAGATCAAAAAGAAACATAGTTCTTTAGCTTTCTTTGGAACCTGAGGCTCATTACATACTTCGATAACAATTCTCCCTTATGATCCTAATTAAATACTTTCTTTAGGTTTCTTTGGAACCTGAGGCTAATTAAATACTTTGATAACAACTTGCAGTGTCAAGATTGAAAAATTGTGCTGCATGGCACTGCATAAAAAATGAGCTAATGCCACTTATGCAACAGACCCAAGAAATAGTCCCACTCGCCGTAATAGAGTCAACAGTGAAAACCAACAACTCTCTCCCTCTCAACCCAAGAAATAGCCCCACTCACCCTAATAGAGCCAACAGTGAAAACCAACAACTCTCTCTCTCTCTCTCTCTCTGTAAGAGGGATCTGCATGTTGCAGTTTTAATGCCCGGACAACAAAGCCAAGAGACACAATCCTAACTCTTTTGATACTTATAAAAGGAGGAAAAAGAAGTCTTTCCAAAAATTCTGGACAACCCAATGAAGAGATTCTTTGAGTTAGTTCAATATATACCATGACTAGTATTGGGCATGATGGGCGCCCGCCTTTGTATATCACCAATCACATTTCCTCCATGAAACACGTTTTCTTTACTTGGGGAAGCTTGGAGATCAGATTTTGAGGAGAGGGCCGTCGACCATGATCTTCCACTTGAACCCGCCAAGGACATGATTGCATCCGCCTGTGAGAAACACAAACACGTATATCAAATCGGTGAATTATACGCTCTCTCTCTCTCTTTCTCTCTCACTCTCTCTACAATCCGCCTGTGAGAAGCACAAAGATCATGCACTTAGACCCATTGTTGCGAAAAATTAATGCGTGCTGATGCACCTAAACACCTCTATGGCATTCAATGGTGGAAAGAACAAGGAGCAAGGTATATAAATGGAAACATACCTTTCTCTATATCAAATCAGTCAATTATACTCTCTCTGCAATCTGCCTGTGAGAAGCACAAAGATCATGCACTTACTGTTGCGGATTGATGTCTTGTATTATGAGGAAATAGATCTACCAATGTGGAGTCAAAAGGACGACTCCGGAGGGCCGTTAAAAGCTCGAAGGGCTTGATATATCTGAGATTCTATATATATTTGTATATAGGGTATTTCGGTAATTTGTACAATCTATCTGGGACTCAATATATATTGTTGCGATGGGGTTTTTTTGGGTTAAGGGAAAAACACAGATCTTTTATAATCAGAGAGAGAACAGAGAGACGTGAGGAAGAGAGCTATTGTAACCCTATTCTCCATTGCCAGTAAAGAAGCTCTCATCTCCCATGGACGTAGACACGTTGCCGAACCACGTATATCTTTGTGTTGTGGTTGGTTGTATTTTTCTTTTGTATTCGTTTCTTCTTTCTTGTTTTCGTGGATTGTTTTTCGTTTCTACACTTACACCCTTTGTTGGGAAAAAAATAATCTGTGCTGATGTAACTAAACACCTTTATGGCATTCGATGGTGGAAAGAATAAGGAGCAAGGTATATAAATGGAACCATGCCATCCTCGAGAGGAAGGTTTAGGCTTCTAAAGGAATCTTTTTGTTTTTAGTTGGAGGGTAATGCTTCTAAAGGATATCGTCTGTGGTCATTTATTGATAAATTGATTTGTCTAGCCTTCCCTCTTTACTAGGTGAAGCAAGGGGCGAGTAAGTGAAATAGTAGATCACTTATCAGTGGACTATCACTTGACATGGAAAATTGGTGGCTCATCTAAGTCACATACAGCATCACTTGGGTGCTCCCAAATTCATTGAGGATTCATTAAAGTTGGAATAAGTGAGCTACAATCATAGAGGACCTCTGGTATGCCAAGTTTCCATTCCCATTATTCGACAAAGAATTTGGAAAGACAAGTTCATTTCAAAGGCATTGCATGAGCAAGGGGTGACGTGTGCTCAGCAATGGAAGTTAGCAAGAATTTGGTTCAATCAGCCAAGAGATATTCTTATTTGCTACGGGAAATTGGATAAACCTCAGAAGCAAACCATAGTTGCAGAAGTTTCGGAGCAAGAAGGGATAGATGCAAGAGTTATGAACCTATCAGGTTTGTTGAGTCATCAAGTGGGAAGAACATGGCATTCCTAAGAGGGCTACAAACAAATAAGAATACGTTGGATGTAAACTGTGTAGTGAACAAGCACAGATTTTGTAGTGAATTGTAGAGCAAAAGGTACAGCATAGTCACTCCAGTCTAACTTTCTAGTTCTCTTGTTTTAATTCCACCACCAGATTTATAAATCTAGAATAGTCATGTACCCATATGTGAGATTCTTTTGTCTCCTAATCTAAATTGCTGCATAGAGAGTTTCCAATCGAGCAATGGAAATATCTAGACATTTTCAACCCCTAATGAACATTAGGATGCCGACAGGATCGCTCCTTACTGCTTGTTCGACCTCAATAATGTCATATATATATATATATATATATATATATATATATATATATATATATATATATATA